AAACTCAAAAACTGCTTGACCGATTCGAATTTTTTTTTTATTTTGTTCACTATAATACGGGGATGGTTTTAAATAATAAAAAAAATAAGTAAAACTTAAAAGAAGAGCTAAATAATAAAAAAATTCTAAATTTTGTATGGGAATCGCTACTTTGAATTACTTTCAATAATTCGTGTTGGTGACGGACCTGTCGTCTAACTGACGTGCCATACAAAACTATTTCTTCCGTGCGATTGTGAAAAGTATAGTCCATTTCAAATTATTCTTTGTTTTTTCATAAAAAAAAACGTCGTTTAGTTTAAGGAAAATCTTGGTAAAAGTGAATTTAGTGACACTTTCCGAAAATATGTCAATAATTTTGATCTGCCATTCTATTTACCTATATTCATTTTGTTGGTTTCAAGTTTAGCGTGATTCAAGGATTTAATTTGTGGTTTTCAATATTTTAAAATTATCAAGACAAAATTTACAGATTTGATTGACTGTGGAAATAATTCTGCGTCGTTTTATAAACCTCAATACAATACCGAAGGGAAGACAAGCTGACATAGGTCCTCGAAGTCAATCAAATGTGCGACGAGCTATTTCATGAGCAATTCGGATGCGAAAGTTGATCAGCGTTGTGCTCATAATCAGACAATGAAGCGAGAGATTCTCAAAAAATTGGTCGAAGGTTGTTTCGACATAACTTTCTTCTCACCTAAAGCATTTTCGAGTTGAGTTTTCTTTACACAATTTTGTGATGACCTCATCAACATTTTTGCAAGAGCAGGTATATTACCTTGGATTGGTGCAGTGTAATGTTAAAAAAACAGTGGTGTATTCCCGAAATTATCTGAGAAAATGGAATGAGCTGTTCCTGATTCAATCAATAAGATAAATTGACTCATTCATTAATTTTTTGAGCCACCTGTTCAAGCAAATCTAAAAATATTAATGCAATTGCAATGAGTAACAATTTACCATGCTTACAATAACTTTAAAACGTCTGTAATATTTCAAAGTATTCAGTTTTGCAATTCTTGATTTGTTCATTAAAATAAATTCACTAATTCATTAGTTTCTTTGGGTCATCCTGTAAAAGCAAATCTAAAAAATATGAAAGCAATGATAAATTACGAGTACAGACGGATCATATTTTGCACATTTTAGATACGATTTATTCGGCAAAATTTTGACGTCATCAAGTTTTTGTCGAATAAAAATTCGGACAGACGGCAGATAGACGGAAACGGGAGACCTATTTCTTCGTACTCTAGGGATCATGAAAGGTCGAGAAAACGTAAAATATTTTCTGTAAGAGGAATTTAACACACCAAAGTACTATTGGTCATTAGATACACTTTAATTACCGCCCAAAATTGTTACAGTAACATCGATTTGAAACAACAATCGAATACTGTGAATTAAAATAGTCAAATATCGTTAACAATAAAAAATCTACTAAAGAAAAATTTATTGTAAGGCGATTGCAGAGGATAACAACATCATAACACGAAAAATTAACTTGAATACTTTATGCATCAGCGAGATCTCTACAATGTCACTTGCATCTCCATTATCGGCGGCACGCCTTTTATAGTGCAATGAAGTGCTAAACTTTGACAGTTGTTCCTAATGCACTTCATGAATCCTGGCTTAAAACGGGTAGCATAGCTATGGTTGGTCGCAGAGGCAGAAGCGACTGCTGCTCTTTTTTTGCAATAACTTATTTCTTATACTTAATTGACATTTTGCCAATTACATTAGAAAACCATTGCATAATGAAGCTGAAGGTCCTTGAAGATTCAAAAATAATATTTATAAATATAAGTGTTGTTTTACCACTGCAATAAAGCCATTTTAATTTTAAAGAATTTTTAGTACTTAACATAAGAATTTTTTTTATAAATATTTCAAATGTGTTGTGATTTTATCTATAAGAACTGAAATTTTTAATGAACTGGCATACCCATAATTATGTAATTCTGTCCTACTGATTTATTAGGTACTAGGTAGGTACTTTGTTGTTTAATTTCTGATTTTTATGAAATTTAGGGAGTCACTCATGCGAACGTTACATATACGGACCTCTAGCAGCAGTAGCGGTAACTGCAAAATGTAAGGCTCGTTCGATAGATGTCACACTACATATCGAAGAAGAACCGGAATACATAATTAGGAATACATGTAAACCACAACAGTATCCTGAATTTTTATTAACGAGCTTAAAGAAATAAATATACATACATAATTTTTTTTTTTTTTCCAAAAGTCAGTGTCTTATAAATCTTGCTCAAGGTAGGTTTTATTTAGTTAATTCGATTTTTGTCAGATTTGCTACATGGGATGGATATAGCTGAAATTAATTTTTGATTTATGAAAATATAACCTTTCTAAAAATGATATACTACTCTTATCTTATCCCAACCCCAGTATTTATACACATATTTTACGTACCAGAATAAATCTCATTTATTCGTTTTATGTAAATAAAAAAATGTATTATTTATTTATTAATTGATCCCCTACCAAAAAATTAAGGACATCTTTCATTTTTCAAAACAAAAATCGTTTTTTACAATGTTGTTTTATTGAAAGTGGACTAAGTCAGGAACAATACTTTTATTATTGTTATTATTTCTAAGCTCCTTGTGTTCGTCGTGCATACTAAAATTAATACAGTAACATGTACAATTGACAATTGTACATACATACATATATTATTTATTAGCACGTTTCTAGCAGCATTTGAAAATTAATGCCCCTCATTGTAATGGTATTTGCTTGAACTTATTTAAATATGCAATGAATAAGCGAAATTCTCTGGAATTATTTAGAGAAAAGTTTCTTTACCCTTAAAGCACACGCAATGAGCCATCTTAGGTAAATTATAAAATTCGAATATGCAAATTTTATTTTTTAGGGTGACTATTACATTAAAATTAAAATAGGCGAGGATTATTAATTTACAGGTATACAGGACGTGTAATGTTAAGTGCCTCATTAGAATCTCTTATTAGACTTTTCACTGGCAACAGTTATATCAATTTTCGTACATACAGTGTAATAGTAGGAAAGCCAGTACCTACTGTGTTCTCAGAATTTTGGAAGAAATAAATAAGGTGTTTTTTATTTAATTAAATAAAATTATACATAGTGTTCATTTCAACGGGAATTTATTTTGCAAAGTTTTCAGATGAGCTTATCCAGTTTTTACATTTTTTTTAAAATAAATCTCTATCAAAGATTTATTGTGTTTGCGATAATTTTAAAACTTCTACAAAATTGCAAAAACAATTAGATCTGTGGTTTCACAAATATGATTAGTAAAATTTTGTTCTTGCTTTCGAAAACCTGTTTATGAAGATTAAAAAGAGGGATGGTTTCAAATCACCTTCATATTTTACTTGACAAAATTTTAAGGTGACGTCATCAAATTTTGATGGGGATGAATAGATAAATTTTGGTTAATGTTTTACGACCTATACGGTAATCCTGAAATGCATTAGACTTTCACAGAAATCTAATTAGCGGTTTTGAACATTATCCGTTTAATGAAATCATTAACGAGCAGGCAGACAGACAGCGTGTTGAACAAGACTGGGAAGACTAATAAGACTAAAAGTTCTGTTTTGCGGAGCACCAGGAAAAGACAATTTTCACCAAAAGTTTAGCAGAACAGAAAACACATTGAGTCTACTATTTCTTTTAGTTTGGGCACTTTTTTTAATTTATAGGATTCTGAAATATTGGTACAAATATTCAAAATACGACAACTCTGAAGTCCAACTAGTGGCGCTCGAGTGAACAATTAAATGTCAGATTTTCCTAGCGCCACAATTAATTATTAATCAAAATACTTACTGCCACTACTATACATATAACAATTTACACAAAAAAAGATCACCTGACCTCAAAAAAATTCAGAATGTACAAATAACTACCACTTTCCTTTTGTTGCAATTTTACAAATTTTTTGTAGCATTTCAAAATATCAAAAGTGCTTTATAAATAATACATAATCACAGAAATAACACCAAACGTATTTATTTGCCAGTAGTATCTTCGTTCTGTAACCCACTTATTTTTCAGGTTATATCAATGTTTATATAATAGTTTGCTATTATTTTGGCCACCACGAAACTCTCATTACCACTTTGCAACCACAAATTGTGTTACATTTATCGTACGGTATTTATAATACGTGCAGAATTTGGTTTATTGAATACAAATAAGATGGATCGATCTATATTTTTTTTGCAAAAAAATGCATGTATAGTGAAAATTAGCTTCAAATTGCGTGTGGAAAAATGGAGATAAATATTTTAAGCTACAGTTAAATGTCATTGATTTGTTGATTTTGGTAAAGAAAAAAACCGCACTAAATTTAGCACAAGTATGTTCCGGAAAAAGAAAACTCAGTTTTTCTTTTTTAGAGTTTCTTTTTAATTTAAATTTATCTAAATATTTTAAACTGGAATTAACAAAGTCATCTAAAGTTTTGGGTAATTTCGTTAACATCTTTTTTTTGCTATAAACATTTTTAATAACGATTTTTTAAATATAAACTATGCATAATTAATTTGACTTCCAGTGCTTTTTTTAAGTTTTGCTCCAGAATATTTTTCATCCCTTTACCCATAAACGTACGCACAAGACTACAAGAAATTTGATATAAAATTTGTGTTAATATTTAAATGGTGTTCAATTCACTGAAAATTATTTCCACCTCTACTTCATTAAAAGAAATTAAAATTTTAACTTTTTTTTTAAGTAAAGGTAATTTTGTTCTAACCATTGTTTAAAAATTTTGTTAGGAATTACAATTATTTGATTTTCAAGTTTATTTTTTAAGTCAGCTTTATTAACACTGTTTATAATAAACACCGGTGAGCCGTTTTTTTTTTTCAAATGTATAAGTGACTTCAATAACAATTTTATGTTCCATTAAAAAAACCTACATCGAGTTATCACCACACTACTTTCGTTCATCTTTTATTTAAGGTAAATAAGAAATATTTTCTATAAATTCTTTATTTTAAAACTATGATCGAATTTAACATACAAAATTCTTAAAGATCAGTCATCAGGTACAAAATATCATACAAAGAATTATCCGTTTAATTACCTAAAATAATTATCACAGTATTAAAGCTAAAGTCGATTTACAATTACGATAATATACTGTGAACTAAAATAACAAAACTAACAACAAAAAAAATCTACGAAAGACAAATTTTGAATTGGAAGACGATTGCAAAAATAGGAAAAAGTCACTAAAGTACAAACGAACACAGGCACTCATCACCAAGGTCTCCACATTGCCACCTTCTTCGCCTCCATCGACGGCGACGTCGGCGGCGTAAAACTCTGATAATGCACGCTTTGTGCGCACTCCAACTGCCGCACACACGCCCCCAGGTGCTGCAGCAGCTTCCTGCCGGCGGCGACATCCACCGTTTCCGACGGCGTTGTCAGGAACTGTGACACTTCCTTGGCGCACTGCGTGAATCCCGCCCTGAAGCGGTCGGCGTAGCTTTGCTCCGGAGGTAGAATCAGCTGGTGTTGGCGCTTCAGGCCGTGGAGATGCCGCACTGTCAGCTCCAGGATGTCCGCCTTTTCCAGCTTCGACACGTTCTCTCCCTCGCTCTGGAGGGCTGTGACCATCAACTCCTTCAGCTCGTCCAGGCATCGGTTTATTCTGGCGCGCCGTTTTCGCTCCAGCATCGGTTTCATGACCTTCCGGTACTGATAGGTCCTGGAGATGGGCTCCTCGCTGTACTCATTGGGTACCATGTACGGGGTTGGCGCCATGACGTCACTGCACTATTACTTCTCCGCGTCGTAGCAACTGTAGCGTTGAAATGAAGTAGTGTGCTTACAACATTTAGTTTTATAGGATCCTTCCGGGGTACCGAAGAAGTGGGGGCACTTTTGCATCGCGGTGAACACGGTCTGGTGTCTCTGTCTGGGCTCGATGAATCACATAAAGGGGTCTTTTTCTAAGTTAAGAAGAGGGTTGCTGCTAAGGGTGTTTTGTTCGTACGGGTTCTTGTCGCATGCATGGGAATTTCTTGCGGACAATGGTGACTGGTAAACAAGGGGTGTGCAAGGGAGTATTGTGCAACGTTACGGAAAAGAAGGCAATATTGGGGTGAACTGAAAAAATGACTATCAAAATTATGAAAATTTTCCATTTAAGTCAGACCTAAAGAGAAAAAGAAAAAATAAATTGTGACACGAAATTAATTATGCACATAACAAAGATAAAGAAACGCCGTCAAGTTCGTTAATTGTTGTAAAATGACTCGTAATTTATGGAAATTAGCAAGTTACATGTGTAAATTAAAAACAAATGTTTTAATTCATGCCTTGCTGTTATTCTCGTATTTAACTATGTTGATATATGTATTTCTATATAGTGAGTATATTTAAGCTAAGTGTTGAAATATTGTTTTATATTTGTAATTTATGTATTCCTGCAAAATAGTGATTCTCAGTGAATTTCAATTAATTAAGAATATTTATTGCTGTCGGAGCTTTAGAATAATTAAAATTTGTAAACACAAAATTTTAATCTTTATTTTCTTTTATTTTCGTAAACTCTTAAAAGAATGAGTTGGGTTCTTCCAAAAATCGATAATCCCCAAAATCTCACATTGGCATTCATTTATTTTTTCGGAATAATTTTACATATAGTTAATAGGCAAATGAAGTAAGTTATATTTCATTTAATTCACATACCAGACTTAAATATATCCCATTTTGTTTAATATGTGCATCAATAATTTAATATAAAATTCTAACTTCGAAACGAATGTATCTATACGATTTTTCTTCACATGTAATTACGCTAAAATTCGTTGTATGATTAATGTGATCAGAGAAAATATTTCTCGAATATAGTGAGCTTCGGATTTTAGTTACCAGATTTTTTTAAAAGGTACATAACCAAAAAATTACGCTTTTGCATAAAATGCAGAATCCAGAAAATATTATTATTATTATTAAAAATTGTGTCAGATTTACTTTGAGTGAAGTCTCGTCAAATTTAAGAAAAAAAAGTAAACCTTCATTCGTTGGAAAGAAATGAAAAACACTGGAATTTTGGACGAAGATCAACTATCTACATTTATTATTAGTTTTATTTACCTAAATAATCTAAATGCTCTTATGCTAAAAAAGAGTTTTAAATTCGAACTGACTCGATCATTTTTGTGTATTAACCGTTTTGCAAATTTTATTTTAGCCTAAAATTTTAGTCTGTTTAGAAAAACTAAAAAAAGATAGTCTTATATTTGTATAGTTTCAATTATCAAATTTATTTCTTATGCAGACTGCATTATTGCGAAATAGTTTTATCCGTCAGTTAAGATAAAACGCCCTGTATATATAAAAAATATATTATAAGCTATAATGTTTGTTAATTTATTTGGAATATTTCAGATTTTTTCTAACCTTTTTTTTCGGTCCTATTGACTTTTTGTATCACATCTATAGTAAAATTTTAATAATTTTTAAAATTTTATAAATTTTAAGACGTCATCAAGTTTTTGGCAGGGATCAATAAACAAATTTTCGTTAGCATCCTATCAACTACACCATAATCTTGAAATATGTTCAAATTTCACGATAATCAGTCCGATAAGTTTGGAGAGATCTAATAAACGAACGCCGGCAGATCCATAAACACACAGACATAGGGAAACGACATATAATTTTTTTCTTCGTATTTTAGCAATCGTACTCAAATTGTAACCGTTAAGATAAGAAAAATTTGAAGCAATTGTTAATATATTAGAGTTCCACAAGGAAGTGTCCTGGGCCTATTGCTTTTCCTCTTGTGTACTGACATAAATTGAACTTAGTCAGATCTTGAAAGAGATGCACAAATTGACGGCGATAAAATCGAATTAATATCTGAAATGAACTATTTAGGTGTTATTTTGCACAATATATTCGGCTTAAATAGTCATTTTAAGTACATCATCAACAAAATAATATCCAATGATGTTCCCTGACAGACTCGGATAAATATTTATAAACTTGTTAGTTGCTACTCAACTTGGGTTAATTTTCACGACTTTGTCAAAGTGGACTGAAATACCTAAAACTGTCTGCCTGGCTAGACCTTTTCCTATTGTATTATTATTATTTCAATACGGCACGTGCTATCTAAACGTCTGTGTATTTACAACGTGCCATTGCTGGTATTTATTGAATTTTATGTGGGATGTACTGTAAAATGCTTATGAAGCCAAAGTCATAAACGCACAATATCTTTAGTGAAACTGTAACACATCTCTTTTTCTCTGTTTACTAGATAAAAGCAAAATAACAAAGGTATGAGAATTATTCTGAATTGCACATCAAACTTAAGTTTGTGTTACTGTTTACAATGGATGTCGATGTTTAAAAAATGGCTATAATTTTTACATATAAAATATTAAATGCTCTGTTACGAGATTATTTCCACGCATATATGACATATAATTATTATCAATGTCAATTATTCCACTAGAAGAACAAATAATATGAGTATCTCCAAAGTTAATTAGGTATAGTCAAAGTGTGTATGTGTACTCTCTTCTATTTGAGTGTCGATGGTTTTAATAAATTACGAGTGTCTGTCTCTTTGCTCCCTTTCGGCGTTTCAATGTAATTTACAGAATTTATTCATAACTGAAGATGTAAATATTTTTTGTATTATTTTATTTTGTTTATTTGCCAGTTTATTTTTGTTTTTCTGTATTATAGAATTTAGATTTAATTATCTATTTTTTGTATATTAGCTTTCCTTCCTTTTTAATAAAAATTATCCAGAAAGGACGACATTAGAATTCGGCAAATTGACCCATTGCAACATGGGTTTTAAAAATTGCATTACTTTAATTCCCACTAACTAGTAACACTTTCATAATATTTTTTCAAAGTCTGAGGCGCGGCTTTTACTTCTAATGACAATGACTAAGCCTGCAAATACATAGTTTGAGCTTAAGCCTGCATTTACTCATTTGTTACCAGAACCTTTCTCTCTTTATATGATTCATTTAATTATGCTGTTATTTATTTAAAAGGCACCCAGGTATCCACCACATGTCAAAACGAGAACTCTAATTCACACAATCCTCAATTAGAAGATGATCTAATCCACCATCTGTCTACCCACCCCACGGACCAAAGCAAGCATGACAACCATCGACCGTTACATCTCGAAATCTCATTTTAGCACCCAAATGAGAGTTACCGTTAGCGCCCATTTCAGCGGCAAACGTCCGGCACATGTCCGTCGCAATTTCTCAAACCCCACGATCCTTTCGGTGTGGCAAGCTCGAGGCCCGAATACCTACACACAATGGAGTTTTATCAGCGCATAGATAAATCGGCAACCCTTGAGGAAACGGCAAAGGAAACGCGCTGGTCGCCCGTCCGGCCCGCGCCGGTACCGTGCCCAACGAAACAAAACACGAGCGCACAGCTCACTTGACGGACCCTCGCGCTGCTCGTGGGATGTCTAGCCCATGAACGTTCCCACGAGCGATACAGATGCCTTGGAATGGCACCTGGCTAGACGAGGACACCAATATCGGCCGAACCGGAGGAAAGGGAGACCGTGACGTTGCGGTGGTGAAGAGATGTTGAAAAATTTGTTTGAGGGGGACGGAGGGTGGTCGTGTGTTATACCGTGAGTGGTGAAGGTGATGGGGATAATAAAATCGCGGCACATGAAAGGGAAAGCTGGGCCGTCTCGAAGGGATAAATGTGGCTACAAAAAAATAAATGGGCTCTTATTTTCTTATTACCGTTTTTTGTTGTAGCACGCACACAACGTACGGGCTTTAAAAAATGCGAATAAATTTAGCAAAATAACAACAATAGCTCCAAAGTGGATTATTGGCATGAGTAGGATTCTCGACCTAAAAACTTCCCGAACACCTCTAGTGCACCTTCAACAAAAAAAGAATTCATATATTGCACAGAGTATTCTGTTTTCAGGTACAACATAATTGTTTTTTGTAAAAAAAGGTAAAATGTTACAAACCACAAATATTGATAAACATTATACAGTTTTTTATGTATTATGAAAAGAAAAAAAAAATTGTTAAAAGACACGATACTTCCAAAATTATTTTGACTAATGAAAGTCCGATTGATTTCATATGCTCAGCGCTAAGCAGTGAATTAAAATGTGGTGAAATATCCAAAAGAAAAGTTAAACATTGAAGGCCTATTATGATTCCTACATTTGGCTCTAAGAAATTTTTAAATAATTTTTTCTTTGCTCTATAAACAGTCCTTCATAACATATACATAATAGAATTAGGACGCTATTTTGTGATCAGCCTGTATATATCTTAGCTCCTTAACCTGAAAAGTGACCAAAGTTGCTGTGCTTATTTAACTAATTCCCAAACCTTTCTTCCTCAAGTGTTGCATATTTTCAAGATTAATGATTGTCAAATTTAAGTGCGATAGCATAACGGGTCCGGTTAATATTCCAAAAATTTTAGTTAAAGGCTGCATTGGTGCCACCTTAATGTCATATTTTTAGTTTCCTCTTAACACCCTACTTCATGAAAATTACTTCTTGTACGTCCTGTAATAAAATTTAATGATAAAACAAATTTGAAGAATTATAGACCTATTGCTCTCCTTTGCAATTTTGCAGAGATAACTGCAGATACGTTAACTACCGTACTGTATTATCATGTTAAAAGTTTTATTATTCCGGAACAGCATGGCTTTGTAAAAAGCAGATCTACTACAACCAATTTACTAGAGTTTACACAACATGTTTCTAAAACATCAGATAATAAATCTCAAGTTAACGCGATATATATACAGATTCAAG